TCCTGCTTTCCTGGAGGTCTGTTAGAACTAAGGGCTTCTTGAACATGGTGCGCATGGAGCCACGAGACAGTCCTGAAATAAACTTGCAACACTATCAGTACACAGCCTAAGGTGTGACTTGATGCCTTTCAGACTCCTGCAGAGGGCACAGTTATGTATAAAATGGTCCTTTATAGAACTTGTATCCAACAGTTTTGCTTAAAAAGATGCCCCAAGTTGGGATAATCATACAAAAGCTTTAAGAGCTTGAAGAGATGGTTTAAGATACAAGTATATTGTTTTCAAAATACATTATTAATGTACAAGTTGGGGAAATGAGATGCTGCTCTTGCATTATTTATAAAAAATAGGTCAAATTTTACTTTTTAAAAACTATTACAGGAAATTTAACAGGAAAAAGAATAGCACTAGATCCACAAAATTGTGCCTCGGAATGAAATGTCACTTCAGAGCAGTGCCCACCTTCTATGGATGTGATTGTCAATATGAAGGTGGATCCATCACTGGTCTCTCAGACCCATTCTGCCCACATTAAAAAAATCCTCAAAACCCAAACACCAAACTAAACATACCAGAAACATGCTTTGTCCTGGATGGAGCTCCAGTTTCATTGCCACCGGTGGCTAAACCCTCAAAATTACCAATTCCATGGAACACTGTTGGAATAGAAATACAAAAGTAGAACAAAGGCTAAATAGGAACATATCCGGTACTCTGGGGCCTGTTTGCTTTCTCCTCCCTTTTAGTAGTTAGATGCACTGCTGTGAGTGCTCTTTTAGTAGCCAGGTGTGCACATACATCCCTGCACTAGCGCAGGGATTTACATATGTGGACGGTCCACTGTGGTCCATGTTTCCTGCCTGCTGCAGCTCCTCCTGGAGCTCTACAGTCCCGTTTAGAGCAACAGGGCAGGATTCCTGGGGCAGGACACAGAATGGGTGTCACGAATTCCACCCTTGCAGCGTTCTGCCCAGTACCTTTGGTATGGAAGGCTGATGAGCAAAGTAGCACCAAAACTCAGAGGAGACCCTTCAGCACAGCTACTGCTCACCACGGCTGTGTGTGACTGGGGCATTGCACAGATTGTCTCCAGCGCAGTAACGGAATCAGAATATAGAGTTAGATGAAAGTAAAAAATCTTTTATTGCTAAGTCAGCTGAAAAGTTGATGCAAAAATATTCTTCCTTCCTGGACTGCTCTATACATCTGAATAAAGAATCAATGGAATAGTGTTTTGCAGCAGTCTTACATGATTTGCCCCTCCAGAGCAATACAAACACAGGCCGCAGTGCTGAAGGTACATTCACTGGACAATCTGCTCCCTTATACAATAAAAATGGGGATTATTATAGGTGCATGCTAGAGTGGGATACAGAAAATATTCTCCTTTTTAGAACAACAACAACAACAAAAGATTATAAACAGTGGGTGCGCTGCAATACTTCTTTAATATGCACTGGATCATGAGAGTCACGTTAAAAAAAAGTAACATTTTAAAATGTGAAAAAACAGGAAACAACCACATTGGAGCATTCAGACAGCAAGAGAACAGCAGACAATGACTGCACGAAACCAAAGAGGTGAACCTATGACTCGAAGGAGGCCTTTGGCAAGCGACAGGAAGCCATCCCAGCCGGAGCGCAGGGGCTCCGGAGGCCCCAGGGCTGCTGGCGTGGTTGCACGTCCTGTGCACTAGAAGGATTTGAGCTTCACAGCAGCCTGTCCCCAGGGAGGGGAAGGGGAAATACTTGTTCCTTCTTGGAACAGGGATTTACTCTCCCATCCACTTGAGGATTCTGATCAGGTCCCAGCAATCTGTGGCGCTGCTTCCACCAGGCCCATTCCTGGTGCCTGGAGCAACTTGGAGACTATCCCTTACCCGTAATCTTTTGGCCCCAACTATTTGTCACAATAAAACCTTTATAGGTTCCTTTTTTTGGAAGCCTTTCTGGACAGGGCAGGGCAGACAGGTCAGCGCCATCAAAGTACCTGTTCTCAGCGAGGGTGGTCATCCGCAGAGCCAGGACTACTGACAGGATGAACAAAGGAACTCGCAGCCAAACCCAACTGTGGCTGCATGAGCATGGCAGGTCTGCATTGATCAGCAGGGCCAAGAGAGCCTGATGACCCCAAGCCAAGAACCCCCTCCAACAGCAACTCTCTAACAAATGGGACATTCTTAGTGAAGTGTCTCCATGGACGTGATGTATCTGTGCAAGAACCACAACCAAAAAGCAGGAAAGAGATGGGAGAACAGGAAGAGAACTGGGAAAATACTTATCCCCTGCTATGAGTCCTTCATTAGACTTGCCCATTCATTCCTGTTCCACCTACAGCAGTGCTCCCAGGGAGCTTGAAATCTAAGGTGGCATTAATAAGTTTAGAAAGACAAAAGGAGGAGCTTGCTGCCATGGCGGAGGCAGGAGAACAAAAGGTGGTGGTGGAGGGAAGCAGTCAGGATGTGTTGCCCAGAACACGACAACCAGTTCACCTATCAGCTCAAGCAGAGAAGGCTCTGGACTCCACCTAGTGTAAGAAAACAAGCTATGTTCTGTCATGACTGTTCACATCCATGGGAAATAGGAGCTGGCTGTATTAAACTCCTTTTCTGCTTCAAAAGCAGAAACAGCACTGGAGAAAAAGGCTACACAGGAATTCCTTGCATTCCATTCTGCTACTACCGTGAAGAGGCACAGCTCAGAAATCTGTATGCTCCACTGCAGAGCTTTATGTTACATAGTTCTTCCCCACTGAGCTAGGTAGAGCCATTCGTGACTAACTCACTGTGGACACGCCAACTCTCCATGCAATGCTACTGGTTCACACTGGTAAGGAAACCCCAGATTTTCCACGTCACTGCAAGAAACAGAGACCTGATTTCCATTAACATCTGCCACTCTCCTAGTGCAAGATTTGTCCAGTCCTACTCAGAAAGAAGAGTGTATTTCTGCATCAGTCCTGTACTGAACACAGGCTGTTTTGCAGCCCCATCAAGTATCAGAAGGTACTGGGCTGAGCACAGACATTTGGTAAAATTATCACCAATGACAACTGAAAGTCAGTCACATACACTGGGCTGAGCCTTCTCTGTGCACTTACATGAAAAGAACATGAAAGAGGTTTGGGGTTTAGGTTTCCGATCCTTTCTGCTGTTGTTTCTCTGCTTAAGGGATCCAAATGCTGCTGTTTCTGAGATTCTAAGAATTAGCTTTTCTCTCATATCCAAATAAAACAGGCATTTAAAAAGCCAAAATCTGCGAGAGTTTAAACCTTGCAAAAAGTTGGGTTGTTTCATGATTACACTGTGACTAGCACAAGGTATATCCTAAAATGTTGCTCTCATGCATGGTAAAAATACATATTTTTTTTTTCTAGTGAGAAGAAATTCAAAGTGCTTTGACATCTCAGTAAAACTCCATTAGATTGTGTCAGTCTAATCCCCACAAGTAGTCTGCACAGTATTTCCTTCTGAGCAAGGCCTGAGTTTGATCAAAAAATACGCAACTCAAGCCCCTCAGAGCTCTTGAGAAGAAACTTTCAAGTTTTCTTCATAAATATAATTAATAAAGAAGACAAGGCACTAGCCCACGTTAGCCAGGATTACTGCACCGCTGGGTGACGGGGTAGCTGCTGTCCAGCTCTGCCAGGGGAGGAGGACAGATCTGGGTGCTCCAGGGGAAGGGGTGTGCACACAACCCTTACACAGGTGACAACGGAGGCCACCAACCCACAGCCTGTTCACTATTAGAGAGACTTTAAACATTAGAGATGTTTAAAACATCTTTTCTAGTGCTGATAAAGATGTTACTACGGTGAAAACTTCTATCTTTCCTTTTGCATTGAAAGCTAAGCAGAAATAAGCATTCTTTCAACTTGTCTGTGACCAAATAGGTCATGTACCATGAAACGCAGGTTGCTGTGGATTTGGGGTATGACTCCAATTTCAGAGGCAAAGAAAGATGCTGCAGCTGACAGTGCAGAAGTTTGTGTTGGTGAACAGAGCACTGATTGCTTTCCCAGCATAAGAAAGGCAGCCCCACTGCTCACTGGGTTTAGAGCAGCACACCACTGCTTACAACTGCATTTCCTCTTAGACACAGCACCACTGAAACAAGCACGAGCTCTTGCTGTCACCCCATGTTTTCTGGATAGGAAGCCTCTACTGGGAGGCATCCATGATGGCGGCGGCCAAGTAGCGAGGAGCACCAGCTCTGTGTGTTAATCAACCAGCCAAGAACCGATCTTCCTGTGCTCCCTGTGAGATGCACCAGCAGGCACCTGCTCAGCACTCAGCTCATCCTGCACAGCCCGATCCCACCATGACCCTCACACTACCCCGCACCAGTGTTCATCAGAACACTGGTACCCTGAGTCCTCCCTCCACTGCCCTAACTATGTCCACTGAGAAAAGCCCCTCCCCCAACTCCTGGGGACTGCTCTCTCCCCCGACCCTAAATAATAAAGTGCTGGGCTGAAGGGGAGCAGAGCAGCTTAAGTGCAATCAATAAAAGTGCTTGCAATTAATGTAGGAAACCATTCTTGGGTCAGCTTCATTGCAACTGGCTGTATTCTTTCAAGGAGTAATGAAGTCAGGTGCTGGAGGGGTGGGGAGCTGCATCAGAAATATTCACAGGACTCCAAACACTGAACATTGCCCCTCAGCAGCCTCCTCACCCCTCATGCCAGCCCCTAAGCTGAAGAGCTGGCAGAACCTCAGGGTTCAAGGAGTTATGGGCAGGTTTTGGAGCATCTGCCTTCGTTCTAGTGCCTGCAGGATTCCCAGGCGGTCCCTAGCACAGAGCTGCTGGTCAGAGTGCTCATAGAACAACTGGGATGCTACAGCGAAAACCGGACAGCCCGGACCTTAGCACGCTCCAGTTCTTCCATTAAGGAAGCAGCAGATGCCTGTACACCTTGCAGATCCCAGCTCCCCTTGGATGGCACGACAGCCCCTGTGGGACAGAACTTCCTGGGACAGTGTGGGAGCAGTACTTGTAGGGTTACAAAGCTGTGTCAAACTCCTCTGGCACAGTCACTACATGTTCCTCTTTCTGTTCCTGATCTGCCCCATTCCCCTGGTGCTGCTTCATTTGTTCCTTCACTTCCTCTTCCAGGTCAGGTGGCATCACAAATTGATCTTCTGGCTCCACCTGGGATGGAGCAGCAAAATAGCCTGTCTTCTTCTTGGGTGCCTCTGTGGCTACTTCGATGAGGTTGAGGCTCTCCTCCAAGGGCACTATGGAACCATTGGAAAGCTTCTTTCCATAGAGACAACACGTGGAAAGAGATTTTTGCAGTTCACACTTCTCCCTGACCCCTCTCTGTACAGTGTTTACACTGTTCTGTCTCCGAATGACGAGGACAAGCCCAGAGTCATCCTCTGGCCCTGGAGCAGAGGAGCTGTACTCTGCAGCAAGAGGTTCAAACTCCAGGCCCTTTCCTTTACAGCAGTGAATATCCACCTCTACCTCCACTTTACTGCCATTTGTCATCACACCTTCCACAGGCTGCTCATCATCACTATCCAGACCATTGTCAGACTGGTTGCTAGAGAAGGTGGCACTGGAAGGCTGGCGCTGGAAGATGCTTGAGGGGGGCACAGGATGCAGACTGCAACGTCGCTCTTGCCGTTGTAGCAAACCACTATCGAGACTAACAGCATTGTGTTCATCTGAAGCAGTAGAGCCCACCTCACTGCTAACCTCAGAAGCAGACAGTTCACTGCTGAACTCTGAAGCAATTCCACTGCTGGATGAAGGTGTTGCTGGCTTGGTGGTGGAAGTAAATCCCCCAGGACCTGGCAGCGTGAGGCCATGCATCTCACACGTGCAGCTGTCCTCACTGATGTTCAGACACACCACCATTGCACCTACATTGTCTTGGCAACCATAGCTTTGGGCTAAAGTGCAGAGTTTCTTCGCAGCGGCTAGTGGGTCGTGCAGGTGGCACACAGCCGAGATGGCCTCCGTGTACGAGAGGTGTTCCCAGAGAGCTTTGTTCCCTATCAGTAGCAGCTCATCTTGAACAGTCAGCGGAATGGAATTCACGTGTGGTTTGGGAAGGATCCAAGGATGCAAATACGTGCAGCCCAGCATCCGAGTACAGCAAGTCACACCATTGACCTTATTGTCCTGCAGACAAAAGGAACAGGGCAGTGGGTTAGATGTGCTACAGACCATGTGCGGAGCAGACTTTCTCCTGCCCTGTGTTGCAGCCTTGAGAAATGCCAGTACACAGCTACAGCATAGCAGAAACGGATCTAGGTCAAGGGACACAACACACACATTACTGTATGTGATCACCAGGTACAGTAATTGCCCATCACCCATGCTGGCAAAACCACATTTTTATCCTGAAAGACTTTTTGTCACATTCTGAAGAACCGCAGCAAACTCCTCTGAAGTGCACAGCTCTGGTCCCTGCAACACACTGATCAGAGAACCTCACCCAGGAGTCTTACTGAAACTTGTTTTTGCAGTGTGAGCAACATAGTGACTTTTTGCTTCCTTGTTGCAAGGCATGTTATCCAGACAGTAAATTATTTGTCTGTTTTCTGAACTATTTCCCTCTTGATTAACATATAACTGCATTCTGAAATGCAGACACTGCATCCTGAGGAAGAAAAGACAAAGTAGGAATCTTACACTACCGCTGTAACCTGGAGGTATTACCTCCTTCCTGCTCCTGCTAGGTAGTGCCCTGGCCAGGCTGGCACTAGTGTCGTGGACAGAAAACTGACCATAGCCCTCTGAGCCTGTTACAAGTCCGTGCATACAAAGTGCACAGCTTCCCAGTGGTTTGAATTTAATCTCTTTCGTAATTAATTTTTAGTGTTCTTAATTTCTGTATCCTCTTGGTGTTAAATGTTGAGGCTGCTACCAAGTATTAAAAACCAGCAGAGGACAGATGCAGGGAAGTCTCTTTAGAAAACTTCTATTTTTCATAATCCTTTTGTCAGTTTTTAAACCATTTAACGTACTACATTGATTCCAGTTATGTTTAGCCAGACTGCTATGGAACATTGCACCTTCCAGAGCTGTAACACATGAACAGATTACCCCAGCCAGAAACACTTTTATCACGCAACCTGTTTAAAAGACCCACCGAGCATGAAACTACTGTGACTGGCACTGATGTCTCACAGTTTCACCAATGACGTATTTTCCAGTTCTTTGGAACTTCCCTGTTATTCCCAATGAACTTGGAGGTCCCAGCTGGCTGGAAGTTAGCAAATGTGACACGCATCTACAAGAAGATCTGGAAGGAGAATCCAGGAACTACAGACCTATCAGCCTGACCCTGGCGCCAGGGAAAGTATGGAGCAGATCATCTTGAGTGCCATCAGGTGGCTTCTATGACAAAGCAACACAGTGCATGAGATAGAGGGTCTGGAGCACAAGTGCCATGAGAAGCAGGCGAGGGAATTGGGGGTGTTTAGCCTGAAGAAAAGGAGGCTGAGGGGAGAGGTTATTGCTCTCTACAACTACCTGCAAAGAGGTTGCAGTAAGGTCGGGTTGGTCTTTTCTCCCAAGTACTATGTGACAGGACAAGAGGAAACGGCCTCAAGCTGTGTCAGGGGCAGTTTAAACTGGCGATTAGGAACAACTTCTTCCCCAAAAGGGTTGCCAATCGTTGAAACAGGCTGCCCAGGGCAGTGGTGGAGTTGCCATCCCTGGAGGTGTTTAGAAGACATGTAGATGTGGTGCCTGGGGACATGATTTAGTGGTGGACTTGGGCAGTGCTGGGTTAACAGTTACAACTTAGAAGTCTTTTCCAACCTGAACTATTGTATTACAGGTCTTCCCTCCTTTAGCTCCACACCTGTTTTCTTTCCTCCTTCTCTCCCCAAGCCATCCTTGGTATCCTGTACCTGAAGTTCTCAGGCCATAGTAGGTGTTTTAAGTATATGCCATTCTGAACAGCTAATCACCAAGAGAAGCAGAGCAGGAAGCACCATAAAAAGCACTTGAACACCTTCATGCCATCCTCTCCCCTGCAGCAGAGCTCATATGTTTCTACCAAGCTTTTAAAGGAGGGTAGAAGCTGAACTGAAGAGGGTCCGAACCAACCTCTGTTATAATGGCTTTTTGCTCCTTGACTCGCTTGGCTTCTTCTGAACACTGTTCAAGGCTGAAGACTTTGGAGAGAGGCAGTGGTTTTCCACTTCGGCATAGAATGGCTTGGCACGTCCCCACATTGGCCACCGTCAGAGAAAAGTTGCTGGCTGGATCAGCCACATCATGACGAATATAACAAAGGACAGCAGAGGAACCCAGCTTCTGCCCAGCCATACCCAGCTTCCTGTTGGAGGAGAAGGTGTAGAAAGGCTCCAGACTCCAGTGACAGGCATTCTGGAGGGCTGCCTCACCCCACTTAACACATTAAGTGATACACCTATGCAGGTCCCACCAGGACCAGCTTGCTCACTGTCCTACCTGTGGGAGACCAAGAAGGTGTTGGACATGAACATGGTGTCTGACTGCTGTACCTCCTCCAGGAGCACGTCGGCCATGGTGCACTGCAGCAAGCGAGGCAGCTCCTCATTCTTGTCTCCATCAAACATGCCATACACAGCCTCCACCCCCTCTGCAAAGCTCCCCAGAGCCAGGGATGACACACACAGCCTGTTAGAAAAAGCACACAAGCAAAGTTAATATGTCTCAAAAGGTTATGTGGTCCCTAAACCCACAGCCATCAGGCATCCTGATGCGAGTGTTGTTCTTGGAGGGTAGCAAAGCCCTTGCCCCACATTCACTGCCCTGTGGGATGCAGAGCTGCATTTTGTTACTGGAACTCCCAAACCCTCTTTGCCGACACTCAGGAGACGGCTGTGGGCACAGCACCAAGAAAAAGAAAAAGCATCTCTGCCAGGGTGGTGAGCAAAGTCCCAGGGTAAGTGTAAAAACTGAGGGAAAGGACAGTGCTGGAGGCTTGAGTAACTAAGACTTAGCAGGAGATCTGGGGAGACAGAGGGATGCATGAGCTCCTAAGCAAAACAGGTCTGCCTGGGTGCTCAGAGTGCGTTCCACCCAGCATCCTCAGAAGACAAAGTGTCAGCATCCAGCAGGCCACAATACTCACTTATTTCTTTGGCCTGCCATCTCAGCTACTCCATGACTCCAGAAGGTAGAACTGAGTGCTGAGTCTGCTGTGAGGGAGGGCTTAGCATCAATCTTCAGAGTGGTAATGTGACTACAGAGAGAGAAGAACAGACGTCATTGTCTCCTAGATCCTGCTGAGCAGTTTGTGGCCAAAGGACCTTGTCCAATTTAGAGTCTTATACAGCAGCCTGTGGGAAGAACTGCACCACCAAGAGGAGTTTAAGGTCTTGGCCTTCTGGAGATGTCTAGCTGCATCTGCCAGAGACAGCTGAGAGAACCTCATATCACCTGAGAAATAGTTTGCTTGCTCTGATGACTTGGCCCCAGACTTTTCCCTTCCTACAAGACAGAAAACTCAGGGGACATTATAACATTAACTGCTGTGATATACTTTACTATCCCATTTCCCTCCTGGGAAGGGTTACTCTTCCCTGTGCAGGTCACTACTGTGTTGGCATCTCCATGGCTCACCTGAAGACATCCAGTGTCTTGTGTTCCAGCACCAGGTTTGTGTTTCCACTCAGGTCCAACTCTTGCAAGGCACCTGGCAGTGCCTCAGGGATCAGGATTTCAGTTAACTCGTTGCAGCTCAAGTCCACAAACTGCAGTATCAAAGAAAGCACAATATTCTCTGTTGTGTCATGTGATGAGTTACTCCAGTGCTCTTCCCAAACATCATACAACCCCACTGTTGACTGTATCCCACAAACTGGTCATTGAAAATGGATCTGATCTATCAGTAGAAGAACGATTTATAAGCAGCAAATACTTATAACTTAATACTTGTAATAGCAAGGACTCCAGTACCGAAAGAAAAGATCACACTAAAGGACTATACATACAGACCTGCCTAGCTATTTAATACTCCCTGTCTCAGGCAGTAAACCAGAAATACACTGAGTCAGAGACAAAGTGTAAAGATGAATGAGAAATGGGCTATGTTTGATCAACTCTAGAACAATAGATCTAGAATGCATACTCTGTGCCGCCGCCTTGGGTTGTTCAAGCAGAATGCTGGGATTTCCAGTTCCTCCACTAACAGTTACTCTTCATCCTCCAGCCCAAACTTTCCCCTGATACATCTTTACCTTCTCTATAAGAATACCTGAATACGGGGCAAATGCAGGATCTCTGGAAAGATGCTGATTTCATTAGAGTGTGCAATAAGTGTGTGAAGCAGCTTGCAGTTTGCCACTGTTGTGGGAATTGTTTTCAGTTTGTTACCACTCAGGTTCAGCTCTTCCAAGTGCTCCAGCTTACTAAGTTTGCTGAAGGGGAAATAAAAGAACACTACATCTTACATGCAAGAACTTGGTACATTCTGACCCTGCAGATAAGGTATCTAGAGACCCTTTATGAGCTACATTTCTAATTTATAGACAGGAGACCAAAAGTTAAGAGATGCTCCCATAAGAACTCAGGGTCCCCAAGCCTGGCTTTGATTTATGTAACAGATTCCTTCACTCCTGACTTGTAAAGCACTAAAGCAGAAGACTGTAGTAACTTAATTTTAAAACTGGCAAAAACCCCTAAACTGTGTCTGTACTTTGTAGGAATAAACAGATTTACATGAAAGTGATGAGTGTATTTATCATTATGCATAGCAGCTGAAGTTTTCTTAAACTCCACTTGGAAAATCATAAAATCCCAGGCTGGTTTCGGTTGGAAAGGACCTTAAAGCTCCTCCAGTTCCAAGCCCCTGCCACAGGCAGGGACACCTTCCACTAGAGCAGGTTGCTCCAAGCCCCTGTGTCCAACCTGGCCTTGAACACTGCCAGAGATGGGGCAGCCACAGCTTCTCTGGGCACCCTGTGCCAGCGCCTCAGCACTCTCGTTGTAAAATACTTCTTCTTTATGCCCAATCTAAATGTACCCTCCTTCAGTTTAGAACTGTTACCCTTTGTCCCGTCACTACAGGCCTTGGTAAAAAGTTTCTCTGTGCCTTTCTCGTGAGCCCCTTTTATAAACTGAAAGGCCCCAAGGTCTTCCCGAAGCCACCTCTTCTCCAGGCTGAACAACCCCAACTCTCCCAGGACAAGAACCACTGCAGCCAACATAACCCTGTGTTAATTCCCCTTAACATGCTATTCCTCAGTGCAGGTGTACGCAGGAATGGCAGGCTCTGTCATCAAGCCACAGATGCTTTGACCTCAATTCATACACAACTGCAGCAACACAGGCAACATCCTCCTGGTGAGCACCATCTCCTCCACCAGCCTCACCTACCTTGCAGGGAAAGTCTGTAGGTGGTTGTTTGCCAGATGCAGGATCCGTAGTCTCGGGTGTCCCACCAACACAGGGATGCACTGATCTGTGAGGTTATTATTGGTCAAGTAAAGCAACTGCAGCATGCTTAGACTCTCCTCCCCTGTACATGCAGATGGCAAGGACTCCAGGCTGTTTGCAGATGCATTCAGGTACCTGAGGCTAACCACAGCAAGGGCAAAAATCAGAGTCCACATCATATAAACCACTCCATTAACAGCAGGAAAAGAAGTTATACAAATGCCAGTGTGGATAGAACAACAGCCTTAGACAGGAGGCCAGACAACGCAGTGTAACATCCCTACTCACATTAAGATTTATGAGTCTACTAGTGACTTAGCAGATATATAGCAGTGCAGATGCGCACAGCATTTTACAGTAAAAGTGGGTACTGAAGAGTCTGTGGAGGGTGTGGGTAATACTGGTGAAAGCAGACTACGTAAACTCTTAGTCTTTAAAAGAAGGGTTGAGTCATGACTGAATAGTCAGTTATGAAGGGTTGTTCATTTGTAAGGGTGTCTCTCGCTGTTCTCCAATGACCTGATGTATTTTCTGCTGAAACATCTGAAAATCCATATGGCTTCTTTCCTTTGCACCCAAATTTACACACTACTTTTAAAGACAAAGCTCTTCAGGCAGTATCTTAGAAACAGCTGCACCTAAACCTACTTTTTCAGTTGACTGTTGGGTTAGGCAAGCCTAATTAAACCTGTAATTAAACCCCGATTCCCTTGAATCAGCTTGATGACTTCCCTTATGGCACCCGAATTACCACCTCATAAACTGCATGCCTCATTATCTCTTATGCAAATGGCACCTTGCAAGGAGAGACACACAGATGCCACTATCAGCCTTTATAGTACCAAAGGTTAATGCAGACAAAAGACACTTGCTACAGCCACTCACTTCAGAGCCTTGACAAAGAGTGTCTCTGGGAGTTTAGTCAACAGGTTGTGCTGAATGTCCAGCACTTCCAGTGGAATGTGTTCTACAAGAGGCGGAAGTCTCTGCAGCCGATTGTGCCCCACCATCAACTTCCGAAGGCTCAAGCTGCTGAGGATCCTAGAAAGACACAGGGTTTTTCTGTCAGCCTGGTTCACTCATTTGCACATCTGGAGTGGGAAAAGTTAGTATTTAATCTGTTATAATTTGACTGTACAGCAGAGAAAAATTAAAAATGACTGATTCATAAAATGTAAACGATGACAAAGCATAAGAACACACATGGTGGAAGGTGCCTCAAGTCACTCTGAATGACGGCAAGTGTATGTACATTTTCCTCTATGCTACTGCAGATTAGTAACTTGTGATATGACTGTGAGCATGTGACTAACATTCTCTCAGGCAAACAGAAAAAGAGAAGTCACAAAGGATGGATTTAAATGCCTGTTTTCACTTGTAAGCAGAAAGAAGCACTTCCCCTGTGCCAATTTAAATCCAGAGTTTTAAGCAGCTGCTTAGCATTCCTGTGCTACTTCTGGGGCTGCTGTCACATTCTCCAGAACTGCAGTGCTTATTGAAGGAAAAGGCCTCTGTCCCCATGAACTTCAGAGACTTGCTTACAGGAATTCTGAGAAAGGATATCTGAACACACCTGGGCATTGCCCAGAACCTGCCCATTTGCATGAGGTGGTAATTTGGGATTATATTCTGAGCACCCCCTATAGAACAGTTTTGCAGCATTAAATGTTAAAGCTTCATTAGTGCACTGCTCCATGCAGATCAATTAATTCAATTTCTTTCCGTATGCTGTCCTGGGTTCTCTAAGCTAATTATACTGGGGGGGGGGTGGGGAACCCAAGCCAAAAACCATTCAAATGCAGATACAACAATTTCCTCATTCAAGCTGATCCATCCAGAGCTGGTTGGGTATTCTCCACCCAAAACTGTCACCACTTTTTTACACCTAGTTGTCTCAAAAAAGAACTGCAACCAACAACATCACAGTGAACGATATCCCTGTGTGAGGCTCCTTAAGCTTTAGTCTGACGGATTTACCTGATCACTGGCTGGAAGTTAACGCTGGCGAAGTTCTAACTGTACACAAGACATACAGTGTTGATGACAAACACATACTGCAAGAGAGCCTGACTGGATGCAGTTAATTCCAGCACTTTGGAATCTTTAAAGATGCTTAAGTATCTTTTTAGAATATGTATTTCTGTGTCTGAATTCTGCAGGTTTTTTTAACATAATGTACTTAAAATTTGGTCTTTTTCATCCACTGTCTTGGCTAAACTTCTAATTTTTCATTACTGCATCCTTGTTACATCCTTTTCTTCCTTTTAATGTATGTAGTCTTGTCTCTGACAACCACTAGAATGTTACTGCTAAGATCATTTCCTGCACCTGATGCTTTAACTGCTTCAGCTTGCCCTCTAAATTTTTTCACTGTAATCCACCCTTCCACTCTATTTCAATATAGCTTACCCTAAAGACTGCGCCTCATTCATTACAATCACGCTCCACCAAACACACTTGTTAGACTAAGAACATTTGTTTTACCATGGGAAGGTATCCCTGGTACCCTGGAGAAGTCATTCAAAACATCTGCAAAACTACCTCAGTTCTTGGCTTCCCTTTACCACATTTTTGCAGAAACTGAAAGGGAAACAAGGAGAAAAGAGTTGGCTGATGATGTGTTTTGTAAGCTACCTCTGAGATCAGGTGTATCATATTTCTGCTATCTCCCTGTGAAAGGTAACAAATGAAATCTCTGTGGGGCAATGCAAGGCTTATTAGGGCCTCACCTATGACCTATGTTTACAGACATTATGATAATAAAAAAAAAAAAAAAAAAAAATCACAGCAGTGTGTTCTACTTCAAGTGCAAACAGCTGCAGTAGAAGCCAGAAGCATAGGATGAAATTACCTCACTATCATTCACAAAGCTGATTTGGAAGTCAGTTCTTTCTTATACTTGAATAGAGACTATTTTTAATGCTGCACAGAGAAAGTAATTGGATGATATCTTTGCACAACAAAGAATAAAGCAAATGGAACAGCACTACGTCTCTCTCCCCAGTCAGCTCACCATAGAAGAAAGCTCAGCTCTGTATAAGAAGGTTTGCTGACCTCGATGGAAGCTCCACAAGGAGGTTGTGGCTCACATCCAAAACTTCCAATTTCTTTGCTTCACAGGCCCAGTCTGGGACACACTGCAGTTGATTGCTGAGAAAAGCAAAGGGGAAAAGCTAGACACCAGCACGCCATATGGAACATACCCTGTTTGAATGCTGCATGACATCAGTGACAGCCATACCAAAAACAATAGGCAGAAAATGAACAATGGTATCCAAGCTAGTCATGTGGAATTTATCTCAGGGGTAGTTGTGTAACATCAGCTGAGCTGGTGCAGGATTGGTAGAAAGTCCTCACGAAAGGCCCTGATGATCAGGCTTTTGGTTTACAGTGGTGATATCAGCCAAACAGGCCACCCTATGTCATCCTGCTATTGTGCTTCAACCTATAACCTAAGGAAAAGGTGATCAGGTCTCAAAAAACTGCTCCAAGGGCAGGCATTGGCAATGAAGCCAACAGCAGAGATCACTGGCAGCTACTCTAAATGTTTGCTCCAAAGACTCCCACCATTCAGCCCAGTAAGCTGTTCAGTGGTCCCTGCTTGGCTTTTTGTGCTGATTACAGCCTACGGCTGAAGGACAGCCAGTCACCCACTCTAGGTTCAGAAGGGCTTCTGGTCTGGGTCATCATTCTTTAGTGCTGGGCTCTCCAATGAAGATGGAGTGCCTTCCCTCAATTGCTCTCAACTCTTCCAAACAATTAAAAGCTCCAGACAGTTTCTGCAGAAAACAGCAAAGGTGTCCAGATACATGCTTTATATTCTGTGGTGTACAGTCACTTACTGGGAGAGTTCTAGACAAGTCAGTTGACCAGGAACTGGATAAATATTGACAGCTGTCAGACCTGATGAAATAAAGCAAATAATTACAATTGCAGAGCTTCTGAGTGAAAGCAGCCCAGAGAAGCAGTGGACTACATAGCAAGTGAGACTCAGTAGAGACTCTGGGTCTCTGCTCATCCTTCCTAAGACAGAGTTCACACTTCATACATCTGCCATATGGCACAAGAGCTTCTCCCCATTCCATTTCTCCATCTGTCACATGGGGCACCAGAACAAGGGAGAACTCTGTTTTTTTTAAACTTGTGGATTCCCAAACAGATCTCACTGGAGAAGGAATTCCCTGGACAGTAGCTCACCACCACAACCGCCCCCTATTACAGAGTCTGTGCACACACAGGCATATGTGATACCTAGAAATTGACCTCACAAGGTCCATCACACATGGCCTCATTACTGTAACATCAGTGTAAGTACTTTGTTTGTGGGTAGAGGGCTGTCCTGGGTTCAGCTATAACAATCATTTTTCTCCTTCTCAGTAGCTGGTGCAGTGCTGTGTTTTTGACTTCAGCCAGAGAACAACGCTGATAACACACCAATGTTTTCATTGTTGTTAAGTAACGTTTACTCCGACCAAGGACTTTTCAGTCTCATGCTCTCCAGTGAGGAGGGTCACAAGAAGATGGGAGGAAGCAGAGACAGGACCCCTGACCCAAACTGGCCAAAGGGGTATTCCATACCACAGCACGTCATGCCCAGTATATAAACTGGGGGGAGTTACCTGGAAGGCCCAGATCACTGCTCAGGTTGGGCTGGGTATCAGAAAGCAGGTGGTGAGCAATTGCATTGTGCAGCATTTGTTTGTTTTCCTTTTCCCCTTTTAGTTTTACATTCTCTCCCCTTGTTATTTCCCTTATCATTATTATTATTATTGGTGGTAGTAGTAGTAGTAGTTTTGTATTGTACCTTAGTTACTGCACTGTTCTTATCTCAGCCCGTGAGAGTTACATTCTTTCCGTTCTCCTCCCCATCCCTCTGGGAGCTGGGGGAGGAAGAAGGGAGAGAGTGAGCGAGCGGCTGCGTGGTTCTGAGTTACCGACTGGGCTTAAACCACAACAAGGGCAAAGGGCTGTTTTCTTTTGTTCTCAGGGCTTGGAAGGAATAAAGTAAGTGAAGAAGGCAGAAAGACGTACAGTTGCTGTTGGCATAAAGGGCCCGAAGGGAGAAGCCACTCAGCGTCAACTCTTTCAGCTTATTCCGCTCGCAGTGCAGCTGCTCCAGGCTGCCCAAGGAGCTCAGGTCCAGATCTGTCATCTGATTGTCTCGTAAATCCATGTAAGTCACAGATTTGTTCCCCTCCAGAGCGTCAGCTGCCGCTCTCTTCAGGTTGTTCAGCCTAAACACTCAGAGATAAGAGTTACAAAGTCAGAAAACAGGACACTGAACACTGGATGTCAGGAAGAAGAGAGAAGACAGGAGAGGAAAGGAAGAGTTCTGGTGAAGGCTAATGCCAAAGACAAGCACAGACAAATGTGTGAGGAGCAATGATTTCAGGCAGTGAATACAAAGAAAAACACTTCCTTTGTCTGCAGTGCTATGTGAAACCATTTTACTTATTCCCCAGTGTTTAAGAGATTCTGAAAACCAATCTAGAAATGAGAAGCCAGGCCAAGAGACAGCTACTTTGCACTGACACAGGAAGCTAATGCAGAGACCAGGTAATAGACTGCCTCACCACAAACTTCTTTGTCCCTCTCTGAGAGCTCTGCAGTTGGCAGCCTCAAGAATCAGGATCTCATCTCAGGGCCGAGGGAAGGCAAAAAAGGGTCAGAGAGATCAAAGAACTGCAGCAGCTCATGGTAACAGCATTATCAAAAGAGGAAACAAAAGGGCTGAATTGCACTCAGTGGCTTCAGGCACTGGTCAGTTAACCTAGCTTCTCTAAGTGAATTCTGCACACCCTTAGAAACAGAACTCCCTAAAAGCTAAAGAATCAGTAAGAGAAAAACCCCTACAACTAGTTTATTACAAAATGTGCTAGAAGTAACAGAGCTCCTCTGCTACAAATGGAAAGTAGCAATCTGTTTTATAACCATATGCAGGTTTCAGCCCCTTACCTCAGGTCCACATTTTTGATGTGACTCATATGGTTCAGCACTGCCAGGTCCAGGGTCTCTAGCACATTCCCTGCCAGGGCCAGTTTGTCTACGAGGATGAGCTTCTCACAAATTGCTGGAAGTTCACAGAAGTTATTGAAGGAAAGTCCAAGACAGCTGAGCTGTTGCAGACTTCCCATTTCTTCTGGTAAGGATGTGAGGAAATTCCCATCAAGCCATAAGGTCTGGAGACTGCAGCAGTGAAAACGAGAAAGAAAATAATTCAGCAGAGAGAACTAAACATCACATTTAGCATTTTCAGTGAATTTTTCCGTATCGCTGGTGTTAGTGTAGCTATTTTTAAAAGGTACCTAACAGCTAATTTTATTCTTATACAGAAGAAGGTTACTGGAGTACTTTTATCATGCATATAATAAGCTTGGAACTGCATGTACACAATACCAAATAGTTCCTACATTATTTTGGAGGTAAATTTTCAAGTTAACGTAACCAAAACACAAACCAGTACTTACATAGTAAATGAAAGCTAATTTACTTAATCACTTGTTTTTCTACAAATGGCACAGTTCAATCACAATTACTGTCCCACTAACACACTGATAACAGGTTTTTACATTCTAATTGTCCTTTCAGACCTTCAGAAATGAATAGTGTAGCTCTCTGTTGCAAGAAGATTTGTTTTAAAGTTTACATGGCTTTTGAGACTCTAACTCACAAAATACAATTCCCTCATTATGATTATGTTCCAACAAAGTACTTTCTGAACAGTGCTTAGCAGTGGCAGAAATGCAATCTGGGACCATAAAAAGTTCTTACAGATGAAGGGGTCATACAAGATCACCAAATACATAACTAAGTTGTAAACCTCTGAAAACCATAAGCCTGCACATGGTTCTTCCCTCACAGCTCGCAGATAGCTAAAAGATTGCTCTGGAAATTACTTTTTTATATCCAGTGTAGATGCAGACACTCCTTTTGTAAAGATACAAGCTGGGGCAGAGCAGGCCACAAGGAATGAATAGCTCAATATCAGTATTTATCTAAACAAATGCAGTCTTGAATTTAAATTTACCTAAGCTGAAGCTTTTATGCATTCTGGGTAGCTACTGGGGAAAATGGACAATGTTTTTATTCCAGTAAACACTTTAAGACAAAATTTTCAGAAGGGATTGCTCAAGTATTTCCATGTTAAAACCCTCTTTCTAACACAAACCTCAACCAATTCTGTAGAAAGACATCAAAACATACTAGTACTGATAAAAGTCACTAGACCTCTCCAAGAAGTTACCAAAGAAAAATTTTATATAATAAATTAAAACTCTAATAGAAACTGCATCAGCACTGAAAACCTTAAGAGCAAATCATAAACAGAAATTCAGAAAGTCACACACCTCTGCAGCTCCAGAAAAAGGCACATTAACTTATTTGAGAAGCAAAACAGTTGTCTTCAGACAATATTTCACCCGGATCATGTTTCTTCATCTTTTCTACATCAGCAGCTGTAATGTTTTCGTAATAGTGATTAAGGAATTGCACCTGAGTGTCTTTGGTCTTATGAGGTACCCCTTATACTTGAAACTTGCATACAGTTAAGAAATCTGCAATCCCTTTTGTGTGTGACACTTATGAATACTGCAGCAATTTAACCAGCATGCTCCTGCTCATGTAAATAAGATTCACAGGCTAGGCCTCTGAAATTGAGAAGCATATGCATTCTTCCCTAGTTCTGCAAAGCCTCACTGATCTCCACAGATGTTTCACTGTACCCATCTGCAGTTGTGGAAATGCCCTGACAGCACGGTCTTTAGAAACTCCTAACTTTTTATGGAAACATAATATTTAACTGATAAGGCACCATCATAATAGTAGTTAAAAAAAAATTACAAGAGAATATAGGAAGAAAATGAGAAGACAGCAGACAAGGGAATGCAAGATAGCAGCAGATGAAAAGAGAACAAGACGTTTTCAAATTTACATAAAAATTGGATATAAACCCACAAGAAATCATACAAGTCACCCCAAAGTAAAAAAGCAAATAAACAAAACCCTGCAAAAAACAACTCAGCCTTCACATTTACTTCACTTCAGCAAGGTGGTGCCTGTGATTCAAGGCATTATAACTGACTGTTAAGTGTCTTCCTTGGCCACTCCAAAATAGGCAAAATCCATTAATCTATTAGAAAACTGATTTACACTAATATATTTTACATAGGTAGCAGAATAGGCAGGAAGTCACAAACGATGAATGCTAACTTGCTATACACCAGTGACTTTAAATGGCAACTGTACAAACATACTGTGGTATCTTCATTTTCAAGGAAAACCAAACCTTATTGGACATCTTGGTTCTTGACCTTCTGGTGGAGTCAAATCCATCACTCAGTCTTCATGGACAGAACAAGCTGCCCCAGCACTCATACTTTCTTAAGTAGTACCCTCTTCTCAGCTGTGCTCAGCTGAAGAACCAAGGATGTTTATGACCACAGATAAACAGAAAATACTCACTTCAACAGTTTGCCAATCTGGCTCGGCAAGGAACAAAGTCCATTACAGGAAATATTAAGCTCTGTCAGAGTAGAGATCTCGCACAATGACACAGGAAACTCTCCCAATCTATTATGAGACAGGTTGAGGCTCTTCAACTGAGAAAACCTATTGGCAAGAATACTAGTTAATTCACAACCTCCATGGTCTCAAAGCAAACCATATAAAACAAGTCTTGAAGAATTTTTAAGTCATACACTGGTGATACAGTCAGCTAACTCACTATGGGAGTTTCTGCATAAACTTTAAGTCATGGCATTAGTACCTCAGGGGTAATGCTACCATGGTTTTACAGGGGGAAAAAAAAAAGGGGAAGGGGGAACAAAGATAACCTTCTGAACCCTGACTCCTGACAGGCTTCCTCCTAGTGACTGTTACTAAGACTAAGAAGACTGAAAACATTCAGTTCAGAAATGTACCTTCAAAGAATTATTTAACAGACTACAATTGTGCATCTTGGGAAAACAGTAGCTGAAAACATTAACTGGAACTGTTCACAGAATTAAACAGAAGAGGGGAATATCCTTTTCGAGCCAGGCACAAGAGAAAGTCTAGTGGAGTTCAATAAGAGAAAACTACGAAAGCGCTCATCTTCAAGCTGTGAAGCCCCAAGACCTGCATCCATAGGTCTTTGGATGAGATTCCACATCTAAAGTGCCATTTACTCGCGAGTGCCATGCAAGTACTGACACAACCCCCACAGTCGCTACAGTCCCACTTGACTTTAACAGATGGTTGCCTGTTCCAGCTCCTTTTATCAATGTGCTAGGTCCAAATAGAAGAAATCAAGCATGGGCTGGGGTAATATGCAAGAGGTTCTTCTCAAAGAGTTCTCTTTCTACAGGAAACAAAAGTGTTCTTCCACAAGTAAGAACATCATCCCAAACTGGAACCATCAGAAACTAATTAGTGGGAAAATTATCATAATACTTTTATGAAACAACTGTGAATCTACCAGAGAAGAACTTCTTGGAAACATGTAGTTCATCGATCTCCTCCAACTACCATACTTTTTGTTACGCAATGGTAAGTATAGGTACCAAACCCAAGGTTAATCAGCTTGAGGGAGAATATTACTCCTTACTGGAGATGTCTTAAAGTAGAAGACTTGAAAGGTTTTGAAATCTTTTCTTCTTTATAGTGAGTCCTTTTTCAGATTCAGGATACTTGGAACAATTTGTGTGGGAACAATGCATTATATTTCTCTGTTTTGCTTTATAATCTTTGGGGGTGGTGGTAGTGGTGGTGTTTTTAAAAAGAACAAGCATATCTGAAACTTTAACACAGGTTGTTTGCTTTGACAAAGCACCCTGTCATTTAAATAAGGGCCAGGCATTATATATTTGCTGTGACCACAGACAGACTCTCTTGTAATGCAAGTGAAAGATGCTGTATTGGTAACACCCTTCCTAAACGGAACATACTGTAGGATGCAAACATCTAACAATGATACAAAAAAGTCAGGAGCTTGCACACAGAACTTCACTTTCAGTAATAGAAAAGGAGGAAACAATGAGGGCACACCTACAGATTTGAGCTTTCTCATTAACTGGTTCAACTTTAAGAGACTTAGGACAGATCACAGTTCTCAGGTTTTAAAATCAGAAAACATGTTAATGAAACTGCTTTTTCTGGAGTTCTATAATGGCATTTTGTATGGCACCTGTCCTTAATACCAAGCAGCTCTTTCTCTGTGCTTAGCAGAGTGTGGTGAAAATCTGCCCCAAGAGGCATGGCATTAAATGCAACAGCATAGCCAACTTTTAAAATTCATCCCTCTGGAACAATATCAAAGCAAACACAGAAGGAGCATTAAAGTTTCCAAAAGCAGGAGAGAACCTGGTACATGATACAGCTTCTTCGAAGACTCCTTGAGCAGACTGTCATATTCAATGTGGAGGATGATACTCAAGAGCCTTCTCAGTTCCCCTTGTGTTCCTTCTCCTTTGCCCCAATACTCTCAAGCACTAGGGATGTAGGAATGGAATGCAAACCCATCTCTCATTCAAGCCCTATACCTGAACCATGTATTAGAGGGAATAAGTATCCTGAAATAGTTATGGCTCAAGTTTTGGCCTGCACTCTCACAGGGCATTCTGAGATTAAGCAAAGAGGCGTGGAAACACAGCCACAAATCCTCAATGGGATGCCCACCCTCTGTTCAGCAGCCCAAACTGGTGCTGGCCTGAAACATTCCAAGTTTAATACAACATCCTGCTCTGCTGCCAAAGCATGCCAGTGCAACACTGCAGCAATTAGCTAGAATGGTAATAATAGGCACACACTATGTATACACATGTGCACACACACACACTTATCAATGAAGATCAAACTTGATAATGCTTTCCAGTAAAGGGAGATAGTTGAAAGGCAGTATCTTACATAAAAAATAAGCTAGAAGATGTAACAAAACAGGTGGGGTTATTTAACTTTCTTCTCTTAACAACTCCCTTTTAGTTAATTATTTTGTTCTATTATTACAGTTATAGCTAATTAGACTCCTAGAATGTCAAACA